GTGACCAGGGGGGCCTTTTACCAGGTTCACCTGATATGGTCAGTCGCATCCCTTTCTGGATCGGGATGCTGTGTGCACAGTCACTCATGCCCTTGTCTTTTCTCGCCTGGACTACTGAAACACTCTGTACTTGGGGCTGCCCTTGAAAAGCACCTGGAGGCTTCAGCTGGTCCAGAATGGGGTCACGTGGGTTATCATGGGGGTACCTAGGTGCTCCCATGTTACACCCCTTTTAGGTGGCCTGTACTGGTTGCTGATTGTCTTCCGGTTGCGATTCAACGTACTAATTATGACCTTTAAATGGCTTAGGCCCAGGGTATCTGCGAGACCACTTACTGCCACCAGTAGCCTCCCACTGTCCAGTGCGATCTCACAGAGTTGGCCTCCTCAGGATGCCGTCAGCCCGTGTCGGCTAGCGACCTCCAGGGGGAGAGCCATCTCTGTGGGAGCGCCTTCCCTCTGGAATGAGCTGCCCCCGGAGCTTCGCATAATCCCCGACCTCTGGTCCTTCCGACATACCCTAAAAAGTGGGCTTTTCCAGCAAACTGGCCTGGCCTGAATAGAATAAAATATAGGATTAATTTGGTTGTTAATTTTAATTTAATTTTTAAATTTTTATTGTAAATATCAATTGGGTTTTTTTGAGATAATTTATTTAATGTCCCTTTAAATTTTTGTAATATGTGTTTTCTTTTATGTTGTACGCCGCCCTGAGCCCTTGGGAGAAGGACGACATATAAATCCAATAAACCTCAAACTTCAACCTCAAAATTAGATGTTTTAATACAGTACAAGTCTTATGGAGAAAATATATACTGCCATGGGTAATCATAGATAAAACTATTTCCATATCTAAATGGTACCTCTAGAAACTCTAATTTGCACTTTCCACATTTAATAAGAGCTAGCATATTTGATAGATCTGATTTGAAGTCAGATTTTAAAAATTGATCATAAGACAAGGTAAATTCAGAGTTTCCACTTGCGTCAACAAATTACCAGATTCAAAGTAATTATATTTTGTACACATTATGTGAAGACTTAATTCTCTTGAGGCTGAGAAAAAAAGAGAAAGTACTCTTGAGTTAAGACTATTTGTTTAATGTTGGTTTGAAGTTGCAGTAGTACTGAAAAAAACTTACAACCTATACTCAAAGTTATGATTGTGATACCATCAGTCATGTGATTGACAATTCAGGCACTCAGGAATTGGCTCATGTTCATAATCCTTGCAGAGTCCTGCAATCATGTGGTTAAAATTGTAGCCTTCCAAGCTGGGGGGACAAACAAAGACAATCAGGAAGTGAGCAGGGAAAGTTGCAAATTGAGATCATGTGACATCTCAGTTAAGAACTATGCCTATTCACAACAAATTTTCTAACCCAATTGTGATTGTAAGTTAAGGATTACCTGTACAATCAGCAGCAAGGTGGACAGACACAATTATAGTGATGATGGATGAACCATTGGAAGACCCAAAGGACCAGTTTGAGGACAAATCATCCTGAAGAAAATCTATTTATGCAGTTGACACCAATTTCCATGCCAGATCATTATCATTGCCACCAGAACTGGAGTGTAACAATCCAGGGGACCAGTAGATGGCAGCAAAGAGGCACCGAAAACTCTGTTCCTCTAAAAGTGTTCCAGATTTTGTAGTCTAAATTTAGTAGTCCTACTTTAACATCTGAAATCATGGTTAGTAAGCTATAATGCATGTGTGTGTATATTACACAGCACAAAGACACAACTGGATTTTTAAAAGCATGGTAAATCATACTTTATTGCTTGTTATAGATGTTATATGATACACAATCAGGGCATTGTCTATACTCAAAACTTATGTTTGTGTATTTCTAATTATTTCGCCAGATTCTGCCCTGTCCCATTCAAACAAAGGGAGATTCTACAGAGAGTTCTCAACGTAAGAACACAACTGAGCCCAAAATTTGTTGCTAAGCAAGATGGTTGTTAAGCAAATTGTCCCTATTTTATGACCTTTCTTACCACAATTGTTAAGTGAATCATTGCAATTAAGTTAGTAACAAGTGAATCTGGCTTTCCCATTGACTTTGCTTGCCAGAAAGTTTCAAAAGGTGATCACATGACCATAGGACACTATGCAATTATCATAAATACGAGTCAGTGGCCAACTTGCCAAGTGTCTAACTTTTGATCAGATAATCATGGAGTTGCTGCCATGGTCTTAAGTGTGAAAAATGATCATGTCACTTTTTTTCAGTGGCATAACTTTGAACTGTCTCTAAACAAACTGTATAAATATACTCCCCCCCCCTTAGAGAGGAAAAGTTCCCCTCAAATTTTATCCACAACCTGGGGACAAAATTGTAACCTTGCCTCAAGTGAGCAATTACCAGGTAGAAAAACTAAATCAAAACAGAGTAAGTCATCACCCCTAAAAAATAGGGGAGAGGAGGGAAACCTATATGTTTGCCATTTCTGCTTGCCAATAACAAGAAGGCAGGAGCAGCAGCCTGTCAACTGAAAGAAGAGTAACAGAATGAATACCAAAAGATGCAGGCTGTGATATCTGCTGAAATGTAATTTCGCCGGATTTTTCTGACATTTCCGCATTTTCTTAACGCTCCTCTTAGCAGCCCAGTCCGAGCTATGCTAGGCGAGGGGCGTCTTGGGCATTCTGCTCATGCTCAGAGACCCTCTCAAGCCTTCACTAAGCCCAGCGCGTGAAAAGACCCGAGAATTTTACTTCCTATTTAAACTTCCCCAGAGCGCGTTTGATTTATGATTTATTTTGACAACGGAGACCTGCTCTTCAACAGACAGCCAGGGAATAGAAATCCGGGGGGAATGATAGGAAAAAATCGTCAGTGGCTCATTCGAGACGAGGTTGGTACAACGCTGTAAAAACCTTCGGTGATTTAGAGAGGGGTTTCCCTTCCCCACCTCGTTTCTTTCTTTCCCCCATCCCCCTCCGCCAACAGTGGGAGAGAGAAAGCCCTTTGATCTGCAGTTGCTTTGCTCCTGCGAGTGCGTCTCTTTGCCTTCAGACCAAGCACCGAAAAGTTTTTTTTTTAAGTGTTACAGGTCACGGTATCTGCAAGCTGCTTTCTCTCGCTTCTCTCTCTCTCTCTCTCTCCCCCCTCTCTTTCTCCCCCATTCCTTCTTAATACTCTTTCCGAACACAATCCCCTTTCTCATGCCCCTCCCCTTTCCTCCTCGCCCGGCAAAGGGGCTGTTGGGTCTGGAACTCGCTCGGAGTTTTGCATTGATCCATTGATTGCACATGGTCTCTTGCCTGACCTCCTTGCTCCCAGGGAAGCGGTCTCCATGGCTACTGGCCCTACTCCCCCAGTGGCAGACTGTAAATTCCTGCAGGCAGAGCTGAACAGAGCCCGGACGGGTGGGAGGGAGTGAAGAAGGGAGCAGGCGAAGCAAAGGCAAATAGAAAAGAAAGAGAGAGAAGAAAAAAAAGGGCGTTGCTTGGATGGACCTTCACAGGTCTTCAGCATTGGACCACGGCCCTTAAAAAAGGAGAGAGAGAAAATCTGCCGCTCTAAACAAAAACTACAACGGGTTACGTTCCTTCTTGAATAAAAGAGGCAGCTGAAAGGAAGGCGATCAGGTCCGCTCAAAAGATCCCGCGGGTTTTCCTCCCTCCCTTCCTGTGCTAGTAGCATCAGAGGAAACGGGACGAAACCTCGGGCAATTTGGCCATCCTTTCTCCAGTAGCCGCTTTCATACACCAACGGGGAAAAACCCGTTTCCTTTGTTTTGTGGGATTTTTTTTTTTTTTTTTTTGTCTGTTGAAATCTGTGTTGCGCCTTCAAAGCATCAGAGAAAACTTCCCGGTTCTTGGCACCAACCTTCTGCCCAAACGATCGGCTGGAATGGGGGCCCTGGAGATCCTTGGATTGTGCCTGATTCTCTCATTTGGCAACACAGTGGCTAAAGCTAGTCAAGGTAAGGCGAATCTCAACCCTGCGCCCGACCCCCTTCCTATCTGGAGACGGACACTCGTATTTCTCTTATGTATGCGCCAGCGAGAGCGCACATAGGCGCAGAACTATTCCTCTACTTTTTAAATGTTGGATTTTGTCCCTGAGATTAGTGAACCTGGTGCCCGGCAAAAAATATGTATCTTTTAACTGTTGAATGCAAACCTTTCGGTTTCATCTTTCAAAGACTTGTTGTTTTTAAAGAAACCTATTCTTCGAATTGCTTTTAAACATAAAGAGGGAAAATGAATAGTTATTTTTGTGTGTGTGTGTGTGTGTGTGTGTGTGTGTGTGTGTGTGTGTTTTCCTTCCCAGCTAGAAATCAGAGTGTTGTTATTGCAAATGCTCGGATCCCTACTTTTTTTACAAAGTTGATAGTACTTTTAGAAACAATTACTTTTAAGATTAAGATGGGGCATAAAACTTGAGGGAATGTTTTTGTGAGGTAAGAGTTCACATGTAATGCAACTTCAGATGTTAGAGGCAAAGATTCTTGGCAAAAGTATGTATTTTAACTTAATTTATCTTGAAACAGCATGGCTGGTTTTTATTTAAAATCAGACATGCAAATCCAAACAATTTGTTTAGATACTTACACTTCCTAAAACAGTAACATGTCATATCTTAATGATACAAAGTGGACAGTGTAGGATACAAAATGTGTTAAAGGAAAATCTTTTAGCTTTATAGTTTGTACTGTTTTTTTATAAAGTGGTGAGAGTTTTAAGATTATTTGCTACTTCTTTAGCAGTAGCCTTTTAAACACTTTAGAATCTTTTTTTTACAATAGAAATGTGCAAAGGGTGTTTTGGTTTTATTTCTTTTTCTTTGCAAGCCCACTAAAAAGGACCTAGCTTCTTGTAAAGTTTTATGATTTTAGTTTAGAAAGAAATGCTTAGATTTTGATTCCAATTAGCTTCAGTGTGTACATTGCTTTCATATTCTTATCATAATATTTATTTATTAAAGCTCTTTGGTTTCAAATTCCATTAAAGCTGTGGCCAGATTTATGTAAAAACAGCATGCAAAATTCCATCCTGTAGAAACTTGACGGATACCTTTGGGAGAGGGGAAGGAACTTGGGGTGGATTTGAGCAACAGTCTTGCAGGTAAAAACATCTTCTTTGTTATATCAGTTTTCAGTAGAGGGCAAGAATGACATTACTGTGAAATTTTGCAGATCCATTTTAGCTGGAACACTGATTTTTTTTAAATACTTCACTCTCATTTTAAAAACATTCCCAACAGTCTCTTTTAATGAAAAATACTTCCTACTGTTTATTCCAGTTCATTATGCTTGGAACAGTCATTTATCATACAGTACATGCAAATTAATATTATTTAGAATACTGATCATATTAACCTTTTGGGGAGGAAGTTTGGGACAATGATGGGGAGACTGAAGATGGTGATAGTTGAAAATCAAAAAGTTTAAACTTAAGTCCTCATTTCCTAGGTGGTGATGGATGTCATGTAAAGAGTGAGCAAATTATCCTGACATCTTGTAAGTTTGACAAACATGATTAATCTTGAAATATACATTGATGAATAAAAAAAGTAAAATGCATATTTAAAATCTAGCCTCTATCATTATCTGAATAACCAAGGTCTTCTAAGAAACAGTGGAATAGATGTTTAAAAGCTATAACTAGAATAGGGGTATTCTACCATTTGAAATTACCATTTTTCCTTACTATATGCTTCTGGTATTCTCCATAAATGTTGGGACCACATTTCCTTAGTTACAGCAAGCATGTCCAAATGGCTCTATAATTTTGAGAAGTAGAGAAAGACTGGTTATGTAAGGATTTGATAGTCTGCATCCATGCAAAATAAGTTGCAGAATACTAACCAAGAATCTTTTAACAAGTGCAGGGGGGGAAATCCTTTCCCAAATTTGCCAAGGCAGCAATAAGTTATTCAAAAAAACCTATATACTGACCAACTAATAAACCATGATAATAAAACATGTGTTATGACATCCCCCAAAATTCCAGCCTTTCATACATATGTTCCAATAATCTGAGTGGTGCTTCTGAGCAGCAGCTATATATGTAAAGCTGAAATCCATCTGATACTGAGGTGTTCCCTTCTTTTTGCTGTATTCTGTTCTTCCATTTCAACAAAATCTTTTTGTAAACCCATGCTTGTTACAGGAGATCTAACAAATAAGTAGTAGAATATGAAAATGGTAATAAATAAAAATGTAGCTTTCTACTTGGTCTAGATAACTACAATGAGTCTTGTTTTTTTGAAGAGTGAGCAGGTATCATTGATGCTACCTTATAACAGCAGGCTTGGTATTTTTCAACTACATCTACTGTATGCAATGTTTAAGGATCAGCAGCTGAAAACTATGGGGCCAAATCTGATCTTGCACTTATTTTTCATGATGCCTATTCAGAACCAGAGCAACTTTACAGGAGGAGCAACGTGTACAACCATTTTGTCTAATTTAAAGGATTGTGATAGAGAAATTCTTTATATCCTATTTTCATATTTGTTTTACAGGAATATTACTGAGTGATTATGCATTTAAATTGCAACAATTGCCCAGTCTGTCATCCAATAGCATCAGAACTAAAATCATTATTATTGATGTTTTGAGCCTTAATAAATGTTACCTGCATTTATGTGGTTTTCTACTTAGATTATTAAACTACTCTTTGCTCCTATTCATACTTCCCCTCCCTTCTTTTCAATCATGCCAGATTCTCAGAGACTGCCTGCAGTTTTCTTGGCAAGGTTTTTCAGAAGTGGTTTGCCATTGATCGTTTCTTAGGGTAGAAAAAAAGTGACTGGTTACCAGTTGGCTTTGTGCCTAAGGCAGGACTAGATCACCCGATTTCTAGCCTGTTGCTTTAACCACTACATAAAACTGCTTCTCATTCATACTTCCATTATTTATGCATTGGAAGCTTAATCTGTAAGACAGCAACAGATTCATCCACCTGGCCTGTTTCAAGAGAAAGCAGGAAGAAAATGAAGGATTTGGCCTTAGGGATGTGGCAGACATAATAATACAAATCCATATGAAATCTGGTTTTCATAAATACTCAACAGGAGATGCTAACAAAGTGGTAAACTGCCAGGACACTATGTTTTCATACAAAGAAACTGCTCTGAATGTGGACTAGTTTGGACATTCACAAATATGGAAAATAAGAAAGTCAGACTAAAGTTAAAGACATAGCCCAGTCATAATCTTGAGTTATGCTTTCCCATACTTTATATGTGAACTTGGTCATTCAGTTAAGCTGCAGTTCTCAAATAAAACCTGATGAATTGTTTGCATTGGAGTTTCTGCAGAATAAATTGCATGAGGAATTTGGAACTGACATCTCTGGAGCCAAAGCCTCATCTGAAAATGAATGCAACAACACACATACACACACACACAAACACACACACAGGGAGAGAAGGAGAGGGAGAGAGAGGAGGGGAGAGAGGAGCTAAGATGCTTTGGAAAATGTATTGTTTTGAGATTTTCTGCCATTGAAGACTTAACAGAGGTTTTGGTGTTGAGGTTCCATCTTCTACAATCTGAAAATAAATTTTCTTTAACCTCCTGGGCAATATTATTTTTCTAACACACTCTGTTTATATGATTTATTACTACCTATAAGCTTCCAATTTGGTCATTATCCATTGTTTAGAAATAAACTAATTCAGTTGACATTTGGGGAAAAAATCAAGTGTTGATGCATATTAATTCATCCTTTAATGCCCAATTAAATGCTTTTGGAAACAACTTGGAAAACTATGCCTACTTACTTGGTTTAGTTCATAAAAGCAAGATGGATCCCAAGAGAAAAACAAAGCAGTGGCTATCCCTATTTCAGACCTAGCCTGTCCTTTGTTCTGGATGTTACCCAAAGCAGTTTTTCTGTGCAATTTAAAGATGCTGCCGTAGATAAAAATTGTACTATAGCAATAAGGGGGCAAGTGGGGGAGGTGAATTGTTAATTACATAGAATTATGGAGGAATTATACATATCTGTTTACTAGGTAATGTATTTCTATAGTTGTGTTCCACTCCTGGCAACTTTGTGCACGCACCTATGTAGAATTTTATGGCAATACTATGGTAGCAGCTTACCATTTGACAAAGTGACTAAATTAATGGGCCAGCAAAATTCTGTGGACATATGTTTGGATTTTAGTGAGGCATTTGACAAAGTAGACCACAGCCTACTTCTTGGCAAGTTAGAAAAATGTGGGATGACAACATCACCAACAGATGGATTTGTAACTGTCTGACAAATCACACTCAATGTGTAGTCCTTAATGGAACTACATCTACATGGAGGGAAGTAAGCAGGGGGAAACACCCAAGGTTCTGTCTTTGGCACAGTATTCTTCAATATCTTCATAAATGGTTTAGAAGAAAAAGAATGGGAACTCAGCAAATTTGCAGATGACACTAAGTTGGCAGGAATAGCCCACACCCCAGAAGGTAGGCTCAACTTCCAGAAGGATCTCAACAGACTTGAAAACTGGGCCCTATCTAACAAAATGAAATTAATGGTGGGAAAATTAAGGTTTTACGCTTAGATAAGACAAATCAAATGTATAGGTATAGAATAGGTGGAACCTGGCTCAATAGCAGTAACTATGAGAGGGATCTTGGAGTCCTAGTGGACAATCACTTTAATATGAGCCAGCAGTGTGTTGCACCTATCAAAAGAGCCAATAAAATTCTAAGATAGAATCAAGATCATGTGAAATGTTAATTGCTGCTTTATAATGCCTTGATTAGATGACACTTGGAATATGGCATCCAATTTTGGTTACCACAATATAAAAAAGACTCTGGAAAAAGTGTAGAGAAGAGCAACAAAAATGATTAGGCAGCTGGAGGCTAAAACATATGAAGAACAGATGCAGGAATTGGGTATGTGTAGTCTAGTGAAATGAAGGACTAGGGGGCCACATGATAACAGTGTTCCAATATTTGAGGGGCTA